AGGTTTCTTGTGCCGATTAAAAATAAAACTTTTATAAGCGAACATTAAGTTTGGAGAAAAAGGATAACAAATTGTATAAATTTTTGCAGTCAATTCGAGATCAAGCATTTCAAATATATGGTCAAACGAAATACACAGAGCAAATAATTTGACAAACACATATAACGACTTAAAATTTCATGACCTTTAGAGATTAAATTACTATACTAATTGCAAACGAAAAATGTATTTTTCAGCGTAGCATGTGGCCGTGGCCTTACAGTAGAGGCAGCGCTCAGCGAGGCGTAAGCCCCATAAAGTGGAGAGAGCCGCGCCGCTCCGTATACATTAATAAATTAATAATCATTATAAATGGAATTCCGCTAGCCGAGCGCGCTTTTTACGCCATACGCGAGTGAGAGTTTCGGATTAAGATTTTAAAATACGGTAAAATTTGAAAATAAATGGAATTCTTTACACGTTTAAGCTAATAAAATTTTAAAGGTTATGGTAGCTTGACAAACAAAATAACACGCATTTTACAAATACATTTATCCTGTCTTTCACTTAATAATGCATCACTAAACACATGCCTTATTAGTAATGCTGAGTTGCTGAAGTTTCCATTTATTTTATCACTAACTGTTCCCATGCGACTTCTGTAGTATATAGAGGGTAGAATTGGTAATTAATAAATCAGTTGGCATCCGACCGCATAGTTTTATTGACGTATCTTACAACTTCATCTGCATGAAATTATAAAAATTTCATTTTATTGTTCATATTTGTCAAATTATCAATAGCAAGTGTCAAAATAACATGACATGACAAACCTGGCAATCTTGCTTCCTTGATGTTGGCAGCAACTTATGGTCTCTTTCCCATATTAGTTCTTTTATTCAAAATATTTACCATCCCCACAAGTTTAATGGCGTGAAAATATATAGCCTAAAACGTGATGTAACTTATTAAAAAAAGAAATATTCAAAAATATGCTGTAATTGCTGACATCTTAGGCAACAAAGAAGTGTGTGTTTACGCTTTATTATAATCGTATAGATTATCTAGTGATTCATGTTAGGTTAAACTAAATTTTAAAGAAGTAGAACTTAAGTTACGTAGTTCGGAAACGCATTTCAAGAATTTATCGAACCAAAGACACTAACTAATGATAAAAGTATCTGGGAAACTGGCCATCAAATTCTTTGTTGAGATTTTATAAAGTGAGTGAAAGGGAGGAAAATATGTAGATACTCCAATATTTATGTCAACTACGTTAATACATTTATCACCCACTGAGTATTTACATCCGCTGCGGTCGACCACAGTCGCCGCAAATTAAATTTCAATTTGTACTCGTATAACAATTATAAAGCGATACAGATGCTAAGTTAGACTTAATGCTGACAAAGTTAGTTACTTAAGTACTAAAACTGTCGATGTTTTCCCACTTAAATGATTTGAAGAAGGTTTATTAAAGACCCTTTAGTGACTTGAAAAAGGGACTCCGCTCCTAACAAATTTTGGTACTGAGTGAACGGGATTTTTGTGCTTAATACCTTGTGCTTAAGATTCAAATTAAAATGCGAGTGTTTTATTACGAAATCGCTTGTTGTAAAATATAAAGAATCACGATGTATACATCAGTTCATTAGTTTCGATTATCTTCTTGATTGATTGCCTTCAATAAGGGACTTTTTGGATATATTACTTTAACCAAACTGTATAACGTATAATGCTTATCTTGAATAGCTTAATTTGTCAAAATGATCAACTACGATTGATCAGAGTGTGTACTTAATGATGGAACTCGCAACTGAGGATAGGAGTGTCGAAAGAAACTAACGTTAAATATCGATTTTGCTCAGTGATTTTATTTAATAATACTTATTGTCAATTTGTTAATTTCATTAGTAAAAGAGCAATCGAACAGAAGCAATGGTTAATTATTGATCAGGTTAAAGACGTTTTATTCGTGTAAAAAACATTTTAATTGATTGAACAGACAGTTGACAGAAATGCAAGTTAAGTGGTCTAATACGGACGTCCGCAAAGGTGATATAGGCGCCAAAAATTTATCTTATTGGAAAAACTATCATAAACATTGGAAAGGCATCAAAAATTATAGCTACAAGGCGAAAATGATCATATGACGATTTTTTTGACATTAATGGGATAGCGCTAGTGCGCTATCATAATTCAGTTTGACTCATGTCCACCGTCTAATATTTTTCTACAATATCGATATCGATAATCGATGTTTTGATGATTGTTTCATCGGTTTCGCTAACGTTGGTAAAGAATTAAATATTTTTTTACAGATCTACGATGTTAAGATTTGAAGTTAGATTGCGGTAAATTTTCATATCGTATTTAACATACTCTCGCTAATTTCGGCGGCGTGTAGATATGTATCTAATCATAGCTTAGTAATTACCTCTGACATTATCCGGGCTCTAATTCTTACTCCGGTATGTTACACTTAACTCCGACGCGAAAACGTGTGTGAAGACTGCATGAAAGATGCGCGTAACGAGACACTGAGCTAATTAGTTTTTATTTACGGTTAACCCACTTTTGTAATGTTTTTTAATTACAACGTACATCAAAACGTTAGTCTACTTCTTGACAATCGTACTATCCATCAAAATTGTAACATTATTTCACATTTTAATGTTTAAACTTCAACATAATGTAGTCTCAAATTTATTTGTTAAAGAGAGATGTGACAAAAACAACCGTTTAAAATCAAATCTTAACGACAAAATGTATGAAAAAGTTATTAATTTTAACGGAAATATCGCCTAAACCAAGTAAATGTAATAAAAATAATAATAATTTATTTATTGTCTCTTTTGTATATATTTCATGGAAATCTAGGCATCTATAGTAGGTTGCTTTGTGTCACAGGAGCCAATTCCTTCCAATTAATTAGTTCTTTTGAAACTGATAATAAAGATACACATATCGAAATAAAAAAAAACATATATCAGACCCTTAAATAACTATGTATTACTCACATTTTCGAATAAAACCATTGTAATTAAAAATTAGATAGTTCTTTTTCTTCCCTCGGTTAATTTCCCTCCCTTATTTCAAATTATCGAAATTATTAAGGAAACGATACATTTTATTAATATAAACTGAAATAATTAAATAGCATGTCAATAGTGAGGGTTACATACTGTTATTTACACCGTTAATCATCCATGCTTTGTAAGAGGCAATTTGCCGGAACCATCGGCACTAATCAGGTCATTGGAGCTCGCACACCACCATACCTTCGATAGTCCGGTAAAGTCGCTACGTCTTAATACTGGGAATTTTCATACAAATGTAATATTGAGTATTAAAGCTTTTAGTATTTAAAAGATCTATGAAAGTAAATGACACAATATTAATCGAGTCTTTTGTAATAAGATTATTAGGCTACATATAAAATGCTTGCAAAATAACAATTTTAAAGTTAATCTTCAACTCGAATAACGTTAAGTTGAAAGAATCTTACTTCTTATAGATGCGAAAGTTTAGATGCATGTCATGGATGTTTGTAGTCTAAACGGCTGAACGGATTTCGATGAAATTTGGTATAGATGTAGGTGATAGTCTGGAAGAACACATAGGCTACGCAATTTTTTTTTAATTTCACGGCGGACTGAGCTAGTAGCTAGAGCTCGAAAGCTCGTATATAACTTAAAAAGAGTCATATTTTATGTCACTCTTTTTAAGTTTTTTGGTTTATTTCAATAAATCCTGTCTATAAGATTGTTAGTGCTATAAATTTTTGATATTAAAATAATCTGCTATTGAAAAACAATTCTCTAACAAATACTCCGACATACTTGCATACTTAAATCCCAGACAGCGTTGATTGAATTAACTTTTTTTTACATTCTATTGGCGACTTTCATTCATTACATTTTATGTTGCATATATGTAAAAATATATTGCAATTAGTAGTGTTAGCCGTGTTCCGTTTTAATAATTATTAGCATATATTTAAATAATAAAGAAGCTTTACACTAACGGTACCGTTTTCAAATATAATAAGAAAGCGTTGTTTAAATGTTAATTTTAAATTATACTAGTATAATAGCAAATATTTTATGAGTAGACGTTTGGTCAAGTTTCATTTGATAGCCCTGTATGTAACTTAGAACTGAAACTTCCGGTTACTTAAGAAATGCTACCAAATCTAAGTTGAATCGATTTGAACCTTCATCGTTATCGTTCAATGATCGTACTCTAAACTGGTTGTTTGAATTACAACGCGACTAAAATTTTTACCACAGATTAACTATTATAATAGGTTATTTTTTATAACTATGTCTTTTCTATAATCTGTTAGGTATATTGGTCATGTCTAAAAAGTGTATAAACTTGTGTTTTATGGGGCTTAATAAGTTTTATTAAACTAAAAACATGGAGTTAATACATTATTGTCATTTTCTTTAAAATTTAATATATTCAAAATTAATCTAATTCACACTTAAATCGTCTAATAGACTGCAATAAACCAAATTATTAAACTTTGCTTACTCATTTGTGGAAAAACTTTCACGTTGTCATTTTATCTGATGAAGTAATCTTCGAGAATATGTTAATAAAAGGCAATAAATGGCAACTCATGATTATCATACAAAAAATTCAACCTCGTATACGAAAGCTAAAAAGCTCTGAGACACTAGTGATTTCTAGCGCGTTGATGTCTTTTATACTGACAGATGAACCACAATATTTTAGTGTTTCTACGATTGAAGACTAAATTGTCAAGAGATGTTTTCTTGATAATTGATACGTTCGCGTTCCGAATTTCGAGCTATCATATTGAATTTCGACACACTTAAAACGTTTGAATGAGAAAAGTGGTTCGCTGACATACATAATTTAATTTATAAATGAACGTTTTACCGTTGTGTATTATAATATAGTGTTATAAAAGTCGTATAAATCTTTCGTATTACACCTTAAACCAAAACATAACCCAAATAGTGATATTTTTAATTTAAACGTTTACTTACCTAGTCGTATATCTATAGAATAGTTCGACTACCCCACAAGTCCACAGAACACATTTAATTGTAGGATGTATATGTTAAGAACAACAAATTAGGGTTGCGCCAGGCACGTGTCGATAGTGAGGGTGTGTGAACGCGACGTGCGATTAGAGCGACGGCCGCGAGAGACTGGCGCGCCGCCGCGTCTGCCTGGCACCTGCCGCCTCCCCTCGCGCATAGTGTTGTTACTCAAAATTATCGATATCGATAAATCATCATCATCACAGTACGTACTCATTCATACATCTCTGTGAACCGTCTTGATGTCATGATTTCACCCTCACTATCCTCTTATGTGAAATATGATTTTCACCCAAGTCTTCTTTGGTCTTCCTCTAACGTTATAACAACATTCCACTAAACAAATTTATATTTGTGCAGCATTAATTGTAAGGGTTTTATACTATTTACAATATTTTTTTTATACCGCACCTTCAATAAATCTAATTATCCATAGCTAGTACTTTTATAAGTTAATTTGAACGACCACTGTTCTTAATTCTATTGTCAAACAATTTTCCGGTTTGAAAAACATCTTGTATCTGATCAAGATAAGTATCTCATAATGTTAGATAACTCCGTTTTCATGAGTAGGTTTTAATGTTTGATTGATATAGGAAATAATAAAAACGATATACAGCTTCTAACATCCTCATAATATCCGTTGGTAATAAAACTTATCACATATCGATGATAATTTGATACATCGACTTCACTTCGAACGTATGCATATAGTACTTACATCGACTGTTCAAATTAATTACGGGTTTTCGATGCTACAACTTTCGATGATAAAATTATATTATATCTCTGTCTTACACACGGATAGACCGCTTTGGTATTTCTAGCTTTCTACTACACACAGTTTACAATCTTTGCGGTAGCGCGTGCCAAATCTAAAACGGGATGTTTTCACCTGACTTGTGAATGAACAGATCTGTTGCCGGCTTCCTTTTACAGTGAACAATACAACCTGACAATTGTGTATAACATTGCTTTACTATTAGTTACCTAAAGTCATATAACGTAGAGTCCAAATTCATAATAGCCAGGGCTTAGCTGATAAGAAATAGTGTTGCTCTATTGTCGATAGTAGAATAAGGTCCTGTCCCACCAAATTGTAAATTGTCTGATAATAATCCGTGTTAAATATGTGATGGCGATATCGCATTTTGTTCCCATATGACAGTGACGTAACTTTTAAGCTATCTGACCCACTATCAGCCAGTGATGGGACAGGCCTTTAGAGAAGGTTTGCTAATGATAGTTGCTAATTGAAGCACATTTGAATGGGTATGTTTGACAGTGATTAAAAAACATGGATTGTATGGCTTTTGCTAAGGTTGACTATGACAGACACATAGATTGAAGGGTAGAGTTGAAAACGTTTGAAGTCAGTTACTACAAGGTAAATCATAATGTATTTTAAATGAAATTTTAGATTGATGGATGTTTGTTAACCTGTAACTCCAGAACAGTCTAAAGAATGTGGATTGATTTTGAAACAAAGGCTTGTCGTAGAGCATAACAATGTTTGTAGTTTAAATTACATATGTTTAGGTGAAAATTAGGATGTCTGCAACCAATATTATCCAAGGACTATATGGTTATTGATATGTTTAACAGATTGATAGGAAAGAAATAAAAAAAAAACACAAAACATTTTCTTAAATTTATATTTATATACAGAATTCAGGTACAATCTTAAATTTATGAGTTTTCTGTTTCTTTGTACCTGCAAAAAAATAACAATATGATTCAAATTGTTTAAATTATCTATGAATATAATTAACTTATTATTAAAACAAATTCCGCGATTTACATAAATGAAAATATAGGCAAAATATAGAAACAAACTAATATATTGTAATGTTTGTGTAATCAAAGAAAATGTTACAACCATAGGGTTTTAGTTACTTACTTGCAAACCACACAAGTGTAAAATACAGTTTGCCCTTCATCGGCTGAGCGTAGCTGTAATGTGGCATATGACATTCTATCGTTGCCACATTTAGGACATTTTCTCTCAACTACAGGACCTTCTGGGTCATCTCTGTTTAACATTTTCTCATGAGTCACAACAGATACTGTGTTAAAGTTAACAGTGTATTTGAACTTCAAATTGCTGAAATCTAAAAAAGTGCTTGGTAAAGTAAGAACTTATATGAGCAAGGAGTACCACAATAAATGTGTTAACACAAATTTAATTACATGCAGAAACAACACAATTTGCTTTATCAATACTTATTAACTAATTTTTCAAAGATAAAGAGTTAATTGATTTTCCTTTATAGAATTATTTCAATCAAAACCTATTCTATTAGAGAAAAACTGAGGAATTATCTTTTGTTTTGTTTACCAACCTTAAGGAATCGGCAGTTTTATTCTTTAAAATTAATTATCAATATTTACAATAGAACTTACTTTCAGCATCATATATCCCTTTACAAGCGTAACATTTTACGGATCCAAATTCTTGAAGAAGAGGCAATATAGATCCACATCTGGCGCAAAATGCTGTACTAGTTGAAAATGGTCCAGAATCTACCATTTTAAAGGTTACTAGAAAAAAAATTAGATAAATACCGGTTGCACTTAATATCTAACTTTTACGTGAATTATGTATAATTTATTAACCGAAAGTTTACGAGATAACCTAGAATTACAAACACAAAAAAAAATATCAAGAAAAACTGACATTGACAAGTTGACAACCTTTACTTTACTGTCACTGTCACAGATGCTTACAATCTTTTTTTTTCATAGATAACTACAGGAAAACGAACCGAGACAACTTTTTGCACGACTATTTTTATTAATGCTATAATCATGATACAAATTAACATTTTTCAATAAAATACAAATGCCTACAAATTACTATTTTGCTAGTATAACAATAAGAGGTGACATATTGCCGTTAAAAATCTTCACAGCACCATTAGGTTTTACTTTCGTTACTATGGTAACATTGCGTGAAGTTGCGATGCATCTAAAATCGATGATCTATAGATCAGCATAAGGTGCTTTTCACACATAATCTTAAATTGTATTAGAGAACATGGAAATATGGTTTCCATGAGTTGTGAGTTACCAGACAATTCGCAACTCGGTAGCTCCCATAGTCATATTCCAATGCATAAAGCCGTCAGCTGCTACTTTAATAGTTGAGCCTTAGATCAACGGTTTAAGGTTACGTGAAGTGTTCTTTTTACTCAGTTCAAAATTGATTTACACACGTCTAGTAATCGGTAAAAAGCCTGTCAATCGAAAAAAATATACAAATATCAACAATCAACATTAGTCTTGTGCTTAATCGGACATCTGCAAGTGCACACCACACT